CGGGCTGGAGAGCCAGGGCCCCAGCCTCTTCCCTGGGCTTTCCTGCAGCTCCCTGCCCCCAGCCCTGCCGGTGCCCCTCACTCCCGCCCTGCAGCTCCCTGCCCCCCCCAGCTCTGCCGGTGCCCCTCGGCCCTGACCCACAGCCACCCTGTGCCCCCAGCTCTGCCGGTGCCCCTCGGCCCTGACCCACAGCCACCCTGTGCCCCCAGCTCTGCCGGTGCCCCTCGGCCCTGACCCACAGCCACCCTGTGCCCCCAGCTCTGCCCAACCCAATCCTGCCCCATGCCCTGCTGGTGCCCCTCACTCCTGACCTGCAGCCCCTACCAACCCAATCCTGCCCCCCAGCCTTGCCAGTGCCCCTCACACACAAACCACAGCCCCTGCCAGCCCAAACCTGCTTCCCCCTAGCTCTGCCAGTGGCCCCACAAATAGGGATGTTAAAATGTGCCTAATTAAGTAGCCATGCAACTGCTGAAATTTTACACAGACAGACACCAGGTGGCAGTTGACTCCTCAGGAGCCGGTCGGTGCACAAGGGAGTCAGCTTTTAAGCTGGCCCCTCACTCCTGACGTGCAGCCCCTGCCACCCCAGCCCTGCCGGTGCCCCTCACTCAGGCCCCGCAGCCCTCCTCTGCTTCTCCCTTCCCCCAAACTGCCCCTGTGTGACGTAGTGGGGGGGCTGTCTGCTTTGTAACCCAGTGTCCCCACCTGGCTGTGTTGCTATGTGCGATTCCCACCGACTCACTCCCCATGTGGATCGGCCCAGGCACCTGGCCTGAGACGATAACAACCCTGTTCCCCGGGACTGTCCCCAGGCTGGGGGTAGGGCCGGGGAGCTGAGTCTGGGCTAGGCTAAGGAGGATGTTTTGGACCAAGGAAGGGGGTGAAGCCCCTGCCCCAAGGAGCACTGAGGCGCTGCCCTGGCTCCTGTGTCCACACCCAGCTGAGAAGCAATAAACCCTTCCACTCCTGGCCGGCGGAGGGTCACGTCTGGCTGCGGACGGCGGGGCAGGGAGGCGGGGCCCCGAGG